TATATCCCATCTACGTATGATATATCAACGTGTATAAATGTATTCTACTGTCATGTATAACTAATTAAAACAAATAAAAATATTTTAAAAAGAGAGAGCATGGTTTTCCAATAGACACTGGTCTCGTTTTTTCCTTATTCCATCTGTACATTGACTGATTCATTTAGTCATTCATTCATGTATGCATATTTTGCCTTAAGCAACATTCTAGATTCTGAGAATATAACAAGAAGTGAAATGGACAATGGTCTTGCTCTCTTGTGAACCTCTATCCCAGTGTCAAAGCTCTAGTGGTTCTATCTTTAACCATGTGGTGCAAGATTGGGAACCACAGCTGTGGAGATTGGTTAGAGGTAGCTATAATATACTCAGAATATTATTGATATCTCTATGATTACTTCCACGAGTATCATTCATAAAATTGTCTCTGGGGCCAAGAAGGAGGTTCAGCTCTAATAATCTTAAATTCTCCTTAAGCTCTGAGAGTCTGTGATTCTAAGAGCACCAGCTATAAATGTTTGGATTAGTACCTCATCTCAAACTGAGTTTCTCCATTTGCAAAGGAAAAAGTAATATATTTTTTTCATTTAACCTCCCAGATTGGAAGTGAGGAGCAAATGATGTTATTATACACCCACGGGCTTTGGAAATGTAAGCAGTGAACACGGGGGGTCGGGGGGGGGTAATAATGGAAGCACAATGTCCAAATGGAGTCATTTTCTTTGTTGTGGGGGTAGGGAGGGGACATATTTTTTTTTCTGAAATCCATTATCCTAGGACTTGAATAACTTCAGGTCATTCTTTATAACCATTTCTCCAAAGATCCTAATCCACAGTACTCACAATAAATGCTCCCCAGAACGGATATCCCGAGAGAAAAATGAGGGGGAAGATTTTAGATAAACTGATGTAACCAAATAGAAGTACAGTTCCAAGGCCCACCATGATCAGAGCAAGCAAGATCTGGATACCCTGCGAAGAGAAAAGGGACCTGAGGTTACCAGTGCCCCGCCCCTCTGGTCTGTCCCTGAGCCACGGTGCACTCCCCTCCTCCGAATACCTTTCTCTGTAATTGCCCCCCCCACTCTCAGGTGCCCAGGAGGCTCAGCTCAATCATCCCCACCGCCCCCGTCATTCTTGCCTGAGTCCTTCGGAGGAATCAAATCCATCACTCGTCTCCTTTATTAGTTCCTGCATTCCCTGGTAGCACAAACTTCTCTCCTCTCAGACAGATTGGAGCACACGTCTGACCAAAGCTACACTGAGCACTCTTTGAGGACAGGGATTTCAAACTGTTTACTTTAAGCATTCTCCCATCTGTAGCAGGAGAGCGTATGGTTTTCCTTACCATCTGCCCTTTCACAGCTTTCCACACATTAAATACAGTGACCTCGTGGTATCCATGGGGCATTGGCTCCAGGACACCTGAGACACCATCATGCCAAGCCGCTCAGGTCCCTGACGTAAAGTATGTAGCGTTTTGCAGATAACCTGCACCCTCCTCCTGTGTACCTTCGTCATCTCTAGGTTACTTAGGAATGCTGTACACACAGTTGTCATGCTGTATGGTTTAGGGGACAGCAAGAAAGAGAGTCCACCGGTTCAGCACAAGCGTGGTTTTCTTTTCAGAGTATTTTCAATCCCTGGCTGGCTGAATCTGTGATTGTGGGATCTGAAGGTATCAAAGGGCCATTTGTATATATATGCTTTTGGAGTTCGACTCATCCCTGTTTCCTGGAAGTTTGTGGAATGTACTGGGGTGATGTGGTGTCTTCTCGCCCCTTCATCCAGGGGCCTGGCTAGAGGTCATGATAACCCACTCAGCCTGTCAGGCACATGCAGAGAGATGGATACCATGGTGGTCTAAGAGGGGCAGTGGCTCCTCTTGGGGTCAAACTTCTCTGCTGCTATTTGTGGTTTTGTGCCCAGGCCATGCCTCTCTGGCAGCACACTTTAGTGACTTCCCTATTGGACAAGGATATGGCTAGGTATACAACTCTCCCCGGGTGTGTTTATGATGAAGATTTTTTTTTTCCTTGTGGGTATGTTTATCTATATCTCACTGTAGAGCTTTGAATATAGTTTTCAAAGGACTCCTGACACCTATACAAGCACAAAGGGAAGTCTAACCTCTCCTCTAATGGCTTCTTCACTGCCAGAGAGATGTCACCACCACACACTAAGGTCCCTTCCTCAAGGAATGTTTAGAAAAATTGCACTTATGTCCTGCTTCCCCTCTGCTAGGCTTCAAAGACCAGTACCAACTCCTCATGAAATAGCTCTAGAGGTGTTGTTAATTAAAGACCTGTTTCTCAGAGTTAAATAAACCCTCAAAAACATTTCTAAGACCTGAGACAAACTGTGTGTTTTGAAAGAGAAGTTTTATTTTGCATATGTATCAAAATATATTGGCTACATGTTGGTCCTCATGATGATGATCCAATTCTTTTTTCAAAATAATTAATTCACTAATTAGTTAATTTATTTTTTTTTCCACACTTATTTGCTTGGTGCATTATAGTTGCACGTAATGATAAGATTTGTTGTTAGGTACGTGTGCATAACATAACGATCTATTTTGGCCATCCAAATCCTTATACAAGCAAATGCCCTAGAAGCACTGCTCAAGACTCAACAAGAAGGATACACCAAGGTGAAGGATGAGGGAGGAAAGACAAAATAGAATGCACTCCCTCCTTGAAATCATCACACAATGATGCCTCTGCAGATGTACATGGAGAATGGACTCTTTTCTCTTCTTCAGGAAGACCCAGGATGGAAGAAAGCTTACCCCCAAGATTTTTGGCTCTCCCTTTAGGAAATCCAGCAGAGAGACATGAGGCCCGAAGGGAAGTGCTGCCAATACAGTTTCGTTTGGATGTACAGTGATGACATCGGCCCCTCTTTTCTCCTGGGATGACTCCCCCATGGTTCAGTGGTTGAACGCATTAAGAGATTGAGTGAACATTGCAGCCACACCTTCTCCACCGGTGTCACATGGGGTCCATAGTAAGGAGCCCTGGGAGACTACTGTGCCCAGATGCTAGAACCACGGAGGCTCAGTCTCTGAGTCATAGAATCTTAGGATTCTAGAACATAGCCAGCCCCATTATCTTCTTGGAGAAGGAAACAGTTTTTAAGAAAGCTTTTTCTCGGGTCAATTTGTTTATAAACACATAGTAACCTCAAAATAGATGCTTTATGCAAAAACAAGGGCTTGTACTTATATAAGTTCGTGACATGGAAAGGGACCTGTGGCATATCCACTGTGCTTCAGGCACCCAAGAGTTTGTTTTGTTTTTACCTGCATTAGTGTTTATTCTTCTAATAGTTCTACGGAGCTAACACTGAGAATAAAGAGGTTAAGTTGCTCAAGGCTACATACTAAGGGATAGTAAAAGGAGGCAAACTCTACTTCTCTGAGTCCAAAATCTATTGTTACTACCTTATCAGGCTTCCATCCCACTTTCAGTTGATAATTGTCTAATGGTCTAACCACATACTTCAGTTCTGAACTGTGACTCTATTTTTCCTGCTTTTATTGAGGTATAATTGACAAAAATTATACATGTTTATGGTGTATGGTGTGATGTTTTGACATACGCCTGCATTGCAGAACGGTCACCCTCAAGCTCATTCCCATAACCATCAACTGACATTGTTTTTTTTTTTTTTTCCTTGTGGTGAGAACATTTAAGATTTACTTTCTTTGCATTTTCAGGTTAAGTGAAAAATCACCAGTAAAAGAAGCTTCCAGATAGAGTTATCACTTTAATAGAGAAAATTTTCACTTTTAGAAAGACTCGTAAAACTAATTTAAGTTCTTCCTGGGTAGTCTATACAAATGCTAATTGAAGCAACATAATGTATTTGAAAGTTTGCTTTCCCTGTCAGTTCTTTATGTTCCTATAACTGTTATGGTTTTAATGACTAAATCGTGAAAGAAAACGGTTTCACATAACCAAAAACAATATATACAAATATAATCTTAAGTATTCCTTAGCTGTGGCAATGGTAGATACCAAGATTTCTCAACCTTTGCACTGCTGCTCTTTGGAACCAATCATTCTCTATGGTAGAGAGTTGTTCTGGGTATTGTTAAGGCATAAACAGCATCCCTGGCCTCTACTCATTAGAAGCTAAAAATGCCCCAGTAGTAGCAACCCAAACTTTTCTCCAAACATTGTCAAAGTCTCTTAGAGACAAAATTCCTGCTATGTTTGCTATATAGAAATCTTTGAAGTATTTCCTCCGTACTTTTTTCCTTCCCCTTGATGGAATATGTCTTTGCTTTCTACACCCAGATTTCAGAAAAGATAAGTATTACTCCATACATAATTTTTCTGCCCATGTTTATTCAGATAAACTTTAATTTGTGTTCTTAAGGTGCAGTGCAACATTTTAAACTAAAAAAAAAAAAGAAAATTGTGGGTCAACTTTATATTTGAAGTCTAAGTAGAATGAATAAACTGTCAAAATCACATGGAAAAGTGTACCCAGGAGGGGCTGTAGCCACCTTCTGCTACCAAGCCACGTGTTCCGGACCAGCCATGGTGCTTATTTGGTGATCAGAGAATTATCCTTTAAGCATTTTCTAACTTGACATGTTTATTTATTATTCACATATAGATATTTTACTTACATGTTAGGAAACTGGATGGGAGATTGAGTTGAATAATAGCATATAGGTATGTGTGTATATATAAATATACATATTCTTATAAGAATATAAGATGTTCTTGAAACTGAATGTAAGCATTCTTTAAAATGTATGCAAGAATTCTTTAAAAGAATATAAGAAATCCTTCAAACTGATGGGAAAGATCTGTCTTCCTGCAGAATACCTGGTTTGGAGGAATAAATTCTTGCTGTTAAGCAGTAAAAGCCTATAAATCTATCTTGGATACTCCAAAATGCACCTAATTTTAGGTCTTTGACTAGGTTTTGATTTTCAGCTCTACCTGTTCCTCTGGTCTTTCAAGCCCCTTAAAGATGGGCCCTCTGCTATTTCAATCTGTAGGCTCAGATCAGAGGCAGGAGTTAAGTTATTTACAGAGAGGTGAAGTGGGGACGTCTTCATGGGACAGCTACAAGGACAATGCTGCTCTTTGGCTGAAATGGTGTTTTCTCCTGCTTTCTGACTGCACTAGACCACCCTTCCTTGAGTTTGATAAAGAGCATTACTTGGGCAAATGTGCCAACGATTAATACCCAGCTCCACTGCTCTAAATAAACTTACCTTTCTGCCTGTGCTACCATGTCACCCTCCCAACACCCTTGGGAGGTAGGTTCTGTCATCAGAGCCATTGAAAAACACGGAAGCCAAGAGGACATTACTGCTGGTAAGTGGGGGAGCCGAAACTGGAACATGGTTGAAAGGTGAACTTTTATTGTCTTCAGATTCCAGGAAATAACCCAGTGAGTCTTACATTTTTATTACTCTATGACTAATTTCGACGAATTCGGTGACCTAAAAACAACACAGTTTTTAACATTGGTGTGGCTTAGGAGTTGAGGCATGGCTTAGCTGGGTGGCTCTGCCAGGTACTAGCAGGCTGTATTTTCGTCTGGAGGCTTAATTGGGAAAAACCCACGTGCACAAAACATCTGGGTTTTTAGCAGGATTCGTTTCCTTATGGTAGGTGAGTAAGGGCCCTGGGTTGTTGCCTGGAAATTAGAGACTGTCCTCAGTCCTGAGGATGTCCTCAGTCCTTTGATCCTTCCACGTGGCTGCTTGCTTCAAGAGGCCAATAAGGAAATCATTCAAGTGAGAGTTGGCTAGGGGAGGGAAAGGACCCGACAGGCTGTGACAAGGATCTGAGCCTTTGTGATTCCGTTGCTATTTTGGTTTACCTTTTTGGGAAACCTGCATTTTCTTTTTAAAATCCAGAATCAGAACTCAGGGGTTCAGCGTATGTGTAGTTCTAATAAATGTATCAACCATCTGCTGTATCTTCTTGGACTTGGTTGAAACCATCCTTTCTTGCCATGAGCTCATTAGACCTTCCTGTTAATAGTTCTTGGCTAAGTGGTTTCCAAACCGAATGAGTTAGTGAGGTAGAGGAAGGCATCAAGAACGACTCCGAAATTTCTGATTTGAGAAACGGAGTAGATAGTCATGCCATTGGTGAAAGAAAACCTGGCTGGAGGAGGCCAATGGGTGGGGAAGGATTAAAAATGAAATATGGGGGCTGGAGTGGTGGCTGAGTGGTAGAGCTCTCGCCTAGCCCACGTGAAGCCCTGGGTTCGATACTCAGCACCACATAAAAGTCATGAAAGAAAACGATCAAGTCACTTTTGTATTTGCAAATTGACAAATCAGAGCTGAAAAACCTCAGGAGGCTGTCGTGAGTGCCTTAGCGTATGTAGCTTATGGACGAGAGAGACTAGACACGCAATAACAAATCCATAAAATATGTCGAGTGTGAGGTGGTAGTAATTACTATGAAGAAAAATACGCAAGGGAAGGGAAAAGAAGGCTGCAATTTTTGTGTATGTGGGCGGGGGAATTTACATTGAGGGTGAAAGTTTGAACAAGACGAAAGAAGCAAGAAAGCAAGCGTGTAGTGGAAGTACTTGTTAAAAAGTCATCCCAGACCGACGGGCCTAAAAGTGTAAAATTCCTGAAGAAACAACATGCCGGCCACCATGTGGAAGCTGATGTGTTTACAATACAGGAGGCAAAGAGGAGGGTGGTCAGAGAGGAGCTGAGAGGTCAGATCCTGTGTGGACATGCAAGGACACCGGCTTTTATTTGGAATAAAGTAGAATGGAGTTAAGCATAGCAACGATGTGGTCTGATTTTAGATTTCTTAAAAAAATTCCTACTGTCTGCCATGCAGAGAGCAGACAGACGTATGGGTGCCCTGTCAGTCAATCGTGGCACTAATCCCAGTGGGAGAGTGTATCTGAGTCCTCAGGAAGAGGTGAGAAGCCATCAGACTCGGGGTGTGTTTTAAAATTAGGACCAGCAGGTTGTAAGGATGGGTTCACTAGAGTGTGGAAAGAAGTAGAGGGGTTAGGGATGACTCTGGGGATTTGGGGAGATGGCTTTTTACAAGGGATTTTACTATGAAGAAGGAGTGACAGGTTCAATGACTAGACAGTAGCCAGAAGGCGAAGGTAACTTTTTAAAAACTTTATTTGATTAGAACAGAAAAAAAAAAAAAGAGAGAACACACATTAGAAATCCACTCAAGAAAAATCACTGCAGTAACCCAGAAACTCTCAGGCCCCTTCCAATGGCTACCCCCAAAAGTAAGCCCTGCCCTGAATCTAACACCATATATTAGTTTTGCCTGCGTTGAGACTTTATGCATACGGAATCATGCAGTATGTACTCTTTTAATTGTAGACTTTTTCTTCCCCTCAAAATTATGCCGTGGAACTGATCTATAGAGCTGCGTGCACTTGAACTTTGTTCATTTGTGTCGCTATGTAGTATTTTATTGTCTGAACACATCACATGTTCTATTTGTTTATTCACTCTTTATGGATATGTGAGTAACTTTCATTTGGAGATTGTGGTGCATTCTATTGCTATGAACATTTTTGTGTTGGAAAACCTACATATGCATTTCTGTTGCACATTTCCCCATTGGATGGGACCCAAGGACTAGATCCAGGAAGCAATATTAGGAACTTATATATATATATATATATATTTTTTTTTAAATACATGACAATAGTGGAATGCATTATAATTCTTATTACACATATAGAGCACAATTTTCGTATCTCTGTATATAAAGTATGTTCATGCCAATTTATGCCATTATACATGTACTTTCTTTGCATTACAATTTTAATACACATATATACCACAATTTTTCATATCTCTGTATATAAGGTATGTTGACACCCAATTCAATTCTTCATACATGTACTTTGTAAAATGATGACCATCACCTTCCACCGGGAGGGAGAGCATGGGAGGATTAGATTAATATTAGGAACGATTTATGGGTTGTCATGTTGTTTTCCCCCATACAGTAATAAACTTGATGCTATTTGTATATTAAGTTGTTATTTTGTCTAGCACTTAGAGGTGGCAGAA